GCAGGAAAAGACACTTGGCTGCAGAGGGCTCTTCCCCTTTTCAGAGTAAGGCAGCATGAGATTAAAAGCCTGCAGCATGAGACTTGGCAAATTCAGACTCAGGGCAAGAAACAATAAGTAATTAAGCTTTGTGGCTGGTTCTTCAGGACTAAATATTTTACAGCAAAATGTCTTTTTCTCAAAGAGATGTTCCAGTTCAAATGGGAGTGAATTAGGTCAGAGGAGTTCTCTGGCCTGAGGTGGGTAGAAGATCACGGAGATAATTCACATACTCCCTCTGGCCTTATGACTAATTCCCTTTGGTACAGGTATTCCTGATGTGAGATCTCTGGGGCCTGGTGCTTGCCCTCAGGAACTTACAAACTAATTAAGTTTGTTGTGTCAACCCATTAGATACTCATAGGCTGCATACAGACTCATTAGTTAAACTGAGTTATATATTTACTCTTTGAACATTATCAAAACATTTAGATCTTGCATGTTTCACGGTCTGCCACCATTACTCCTTTGTACACAGATTTCTGTGGTTGCTTCTTGCTTACAAGCCACAGACTTTTCATGCACATACACTGGTTTTGGTTATTTCATAGATTGAAACTGTGGTGGCTGATGTCATCCTGGTCTTTTTAATTTATCTTACTTTTGATGAAATCCTTTATTGTTAGTTGAAAAAAGCAATAAATATTTGTTTCAGATCTCATACATTAACTTTGTCTTAAAAAAACTGGCAGCCCAGATTCCTACAGAAGACATGTACTAGCTCATACATCGAGGGCCTGCAGACCCTTGGTACCTCCTCACCTGCAGTGCCTGCAAAGGAGACTGGTCTGCAGTGTCTCCCAGTGAGCCGGGTGTTCATGGAAGCTGGGATGTGACAGAGAAATATAAAAATAATGCAAATGCATAGAGCAACTGGATTCACCACAAATAAGTTGTTTTGCTTGGAGTAGGGTCCAGACTACCCTGATTTTTCCTTGAGCACAGGTAGGCAGTCAGATTCTTGCTGCAAAATCCTTGGGTCTCCATACCTTCTCCTTTTAGGAACAAAGAACAAGAAAGTGGTCCTGGAAGAGCTTTGAGATGCCATCACTGTCTTCAAGTTGCTGTCCTGTTCCTTTGGTATCTAGGGAAGTGAATGTCCATTGGGTATCATCTTCGTTGTCTCCATTCCAAGCCATTTTTTCAGTGCCCTGTGACTGTAGGAATATCAAGAGCTGCCCTAAAGCCACTCTCTTCATTCACAGTTGTCCATCAGTTTGCATTTTTCCTGTGCTGCTGTGCATTTAATGTGTGAATAATAGTTTTTTTGTGACTGTTATTCAGCACCTAGTTTTGCTGAAAGGCAGATGGAGGAGAGCAGGGTGGAGAGGTTTATAGTTAATGAGACTACTATTATTTGCTGACAAGATCTTAAGAAGAGGGAATCTGATCTCCTTTCAAGTGACTAAACAGGAATTTGCACTGCAGAATATGTGTGAAGCATGTGTATTCCAGAAAAAAAAAAAAGAAAAAAAAAGGAAAAAAAAGAGCATTTACAGTCACATTGCCTAGGGATTTTAACAGCTCTGAGGAAACATCAGAGATCACACAGTGTCCACATTCTTTACAATGACTTGATTATTTTAGCTCTGAGCCAGTGGAGCAGTACATGAACTCCTGCAGGACCCACCTCACGTGAACTCAACCTCATGGCAACCCCTCTCTTGTGCTTCAGATATTCCTGAAGGTTCCTATAGCCTGGGAAATGATGCAAGAGCCATGTTCCAGCTGTCTTTCTCACATGCAGACACTGGTGAGGCTAACACTGGTGGAGTCCTGGACTGAACGTGAGTTCTCCAGATGTCTTGGATCTGAGAGGCATTTTGGCAGTTGCTGAAGGAGGGTTGGAGATTGAGTCCTGTTCCTGCAAAGCCACAGTCCCATAACATACATGCATGAGTCTCACCAGCACTGCAGCTTCACTGCTCCCTCCTACCCTGGGACCAGCAAGACTTAGTGACATGGGACCCAATGCTTCCTAACCATGTGGCCCTGCAGACAGCTGCCCACACCATAACTGCCATCACAGACAGTCCTGTCACTGATCCCACCTGGAATCAGGAGGTGCTCACAGGCCAATGAGAATGTTGGCCATCTAGGCAAGGGAATAAATTATTGTGTAGCTTCTCAAGCACTGTCTGCCTGGGTCCATCTGAGAAAGAGACGCTGCTGTGGATGAAAGCCCCAGGGAATGACGTGCAGCCTCCCTGTGCTCCAGTGCATGGTACCTGTGCACCCTGCTGTCAGATGCAGTCCCTGGCCAAAGGGGTGGAAGAAAGGGCCAAGTACCCACTAAAAGAGAAGAGGAGATGTTTTACTCTTTTAATTTCATAGCTGTCAAAACCAGACTAAAACTGGGGGTAGAAAGCAAGTGAGAAGAAAAGCACTGTTTACATAATCCTTTGGCAGTGAAATGGGTCAGGGTTCTTGTGGGAGAAGAGGAATGCAGTTTTTTACAAATAAACAGCATTGTTGTACTTGGTAGTAGCTGGATAGCCCTGCTTTCCTGAAAAGTAGCACAGAAGTTTACTATGGGTTTATATGCCTTGTCTTTTGTTCCCATTGTTTCTCCTCTGAACAAAGCCCTGTGAAATGGAACATTCCCACTGTTTTCTTCAAAATAATCTGTAATTCCTTGGCCCTAATGCAAAGGGAGGCACCCATCTGTTTGGTTTTGTTTTGGTTTTGTCTCTCTTCCACAAATGTCCTTGTTTGTGTTAACTAGCAAATCTAATCATCCAGCTCAGAGAAGAGTTACACAACTGCAAACCTCCTGAGATTTCAGTCTAATAGCAAATCTTGCTTAATACCCCTGTGTTCGCTTCTTGCTTCAGATTTGCAGCTCCTTTGGCATTACAGCTGTGCTCTTATAAAACAGATTAAACAGCAAAAGGAATGCTGAATGGAAAAGCTGTGTTATTTCCACCTTGCAGGACTTACTGAAATGAGCCTGGCTGTGTTAAAACATGAGCTGAAACTCCCACAGGGAGCATTAGTCTGAGTGATTCATATAAACACTTACAGAAGTCAGCCTTGGTTGGGCCTCCTAGTCAAATAAGGTGGGTAATAATAGTACACAAGCAGCAGAGCCCCTCTTCCCTCTCATTTGGAGAGCACTGCTGATAGAAACCTACTGTCATTTATTCTCACTGGGAAGCAGCAAGATGAGCATTGGGTAACAGCAGAAAACCTGGGGTTTAGGTACCTTTCACGTGAGGAATTGTGAGTATATTTTCTGTGAAATTGCCTAGTGCTGTGAAGCATTCTTCATCTGTGCCCTTGATGTGTGCCATCTGGAGAGGAAAATCTCATCAACCTCTAGAAATGCAGCCAGGTTTATGATCACTTTCTTTTGCAGTTGACTTTTAAGGGAGATAATCTTACCCGGAGGAGGTCTGAAGAAAGGAAAGTTAAAGGTATGTGCATTTCGTGTGTGTTGATAAAGGCATAGATGGACTTGCTTTCTTTCCCTCTGCTCTGCACTGTCTGCTTTTCAGGAGCTGTCGCTCAAGCTCATCCTTCCAGTTAGCTTGTTGCCTCCACCCACATGCACTGCGTGGGGCTGATTCTGACCTCAGCACTGGTGCTGAAGCCACCGACAGGGCCGTGGGGCGATGTCATGAACAGCACCAGCAGTCACTGGCTCTGGGATCCTCTGCTGTAACTCTTCTCCCTTGGACCTGAAAAATTGCCATGTGCACGACACCTTTTGTGGGCAACTGCCATGGGCATCTTCTTCCCTCAGCTAGCTTTGGGGCCTGCCAGCTCAGCTTGGCTGAAGGTTCCCCTGTCGCAGTGGCTTTGCTGGCTCTGGAAGCAGCTCCAGCAGCAGCCGCTGCAGGGATGCTAATCGAGCCATAGCTGAAACAAAGCATGTTGCTCAGAGCATAGAGCTGGGTAGCCAAGTTCCTGCAGCACTTCCAGATGTGAAGCAGGGGCGTTGTTTTTAGCTGATTTTTCAGATTTTTTTCTTTCTGATTTGTTTTTTAAGCACCAGGCAAGCACACTGTGAACAATTTGTACTGTTCACTCACGTTCAGCTGTATGTTCCCAGTGGCAGTCGCTTAGCATTTTCTCTAGCTAAGACTCTTCAATCAAAGCCCCATCTGTGTATTGGGGCAGATTGGCAGCAGAGATTTCTTCCACTGAACTCCAAGAAAAAAATACCCCACATTCACTCTGTCACATGTGTGACATCTGCCCTTGGTCTCCAAGGTAATCCCATCCTGACAGACCACCCTGTGGACCAAGGGGGCAGTGTCTATGGTCACTCAACCAAGAGGCAAAATTCCTCTTAACTTTGGGGAGTTTGAACTGAATAAGGACTGTGTGATTTTGGCAAGAAGTGCTCCAAGGAGGCACAATTGCTGAGTCTGTGTGGACACTTGGGAGAAGGGGCAGAGACTGCTGGAAAGTCACACGGAGTATTTGTTTCTACAGGGAGTCAGGAGCTCAGACCTAAGTTTTGATACCCCTGTCAGCATGCTGGACTGGTACTTCTCCTTAATATGCATCTTTTCTCTGATTTTGTCCTGCCTGTCATTTCAAGCAACCTCCTGAACAAATCCTGCAGCATCTTCTGGGGAATTAAACATAAGTGTGAGGGGGAATTAAGTTATGAGAGGAACTGAAGAAACCTCCAGTGCAGCCTGTCAATGCTTCTTTTCAGGTGATAAGAAATGAGTGTGATGATGCCCTGGTTGCTGCTGCTCCTTCTCCTGGTCAGCTTCGGCTCACCTGCACCCAGGTTTTCGGTGTGTATCTTTCAACTAGTATGTGTACAACCTCTCAACAGTTTACCATTCCCAGTCATGGAGATAGACGCACCTCCACAAGAGGAATGGAGACCTACAAAAGCAGAGCAAAAAGGCATCTGCCTGCAGCTAAAGGAAGGTCACTCTTCTTGTCCTGATAATATAGGGTTTTCAGAGCATTCGGGGTTGTGCAGCTCTCTGGGTGACTGAACTGACATTACTAAGAATTAAAAACAACAGCAACAACAACAAGCTCTTTTAAAAAATGTATTTTTGTAGCCAGTGAAGAAACACTCCATTCCCTCAGGGAGAACTGCCTTCATTTATTCATCATGATTTGAAACACAGGAAGGAGAAAAGCAGGTAGGCATAGTCTGTTGCAATCTGTACTCTTCCAATGATCAAATTTCTCTTGGGCCATCCCAACGAGGTACAGAACTTGGCAATGAGAGTTTGGTAAGCTCAGTATTGTCTGCAGCAGGTCCCCATGTGTCCCTCCAGCCTAGAAATCCTCCTCAGTGGAGGAAGACCAACAAGCCAAGGAGAAGGAAGAGGCAGGTGGGAGACCATGTTTGAACATGCTCACCAGTCTTGTGTCAGGGGCAGCTGCTTGTTTTTCTTAATGATTCTTATTGCATGGGCTTGCTTGGTTGTCTTGGAAGACATTTTTCTCTGTTTTGTTAAATTTTTAATAGAATAACACCAGCCACAGACGATTATTGTTGAAAATGTTTATCCCAGTCAGTGTGGGTCAGATTCTGGTCTTGGTTATGGTAAAGGAGCTCTAAAGTTATGCCACTGTATGCTCACTGCTTTCAACTGATTTGCACCTAATATCAGCTCTTTTATCTTCCAGTTTAACACAAAGATGATTCTGGAACCTTTCTGGTTTGACCTGTCTGCAGTGCAAGAGCTGAATTTTCCCTTCTTATTAATCTGAGCATTTTCATAGTCTGCAAACCTTCCTTTTGAGTTCATTAAATGGGGGTTGAGACAAATTATTTTTGTTCAAAATACATTTTGGTGCATCTAATCATATGCTGGGATGCTCTGATTAATGCCAAGGTCATTGGAGAAAACCCCTTTTCTGCTGGATTCAACTCAGCAACTCATGCTGTGCCAGATTTGTGTATTTTAGGAAGAGACCACCATTGAATCATCTTGATCCACACAGAGGCCGAGTGACACATTAGGGTGAAGAGGAAACAGATAGTCCTCTCTCTACCTCTTTGTTCTTACCCCTGACATGAAGGGTTTTGTTTTATTTTCTCCATAGGACAAAGATATCTGCCTCCTAGACAACAATAAATTAAGACAAAGGTTAAAACAGCTTCAAGACTTGCTTTACTTATATGAACTGCAAATGAAGGACATCCTGGAGAACACTTACCACAGAACAAAAAGTGAACTGTTCTCAGGCAACAGGAGCATGCAGCATGAGATGCCTTTACCCACAACCAGTGGAAATTTGATAGTCTATGACCAAGGTACAGTTTGAGGTAGTGTGTGTGGAAATTTCAGCTTGCCATGATGTTTATTTCTCCCTGCAGTGTCCCAAGTGTCATTTTAGTTTGTCAGAAAGGTTTGATTTCTTTTTAAATGAATGGTGTTTTAAAATGCAGTCAGATGGGTGGGAAGGAGAAGAGCTAACTGGTGACCCTGGTATCAGCAGACTGGGGCTAGAGTTAGCTGACCCAACTTCAGGCAGCTACCACCCAGGTACAAGGTGGACAGCCACAGCTGAATTTCTAACCTGGGGCTGCTGCAGAGGGGAACAGTCAAATCTCATGTTTTCCATCAGACCTACTTTAGGTATCTGCTTGAGGAAGAGATTGGTCCTGCTCTTGAAGAGCCCATTTTCCCTGGGAGACAGGCCAGAGTGCTGGGCTCGGCTGCAGGCACTGAAACGTGTTTGGAGGATCCCAGCTTCCCTGTTCCTCAGTTCCTCCATCACTTCTGTGGCACAATAACAGGCATGCATACTTTGTTCCTTGGTGTTACTTTGGGAACAGGGTCATAAATGGAATTGTGGCCTGTGGCCAAGATATTATCCTTTGTGGGCGTTACATTGAAAGTGTGAAGCACTGAGGTTCTGAAAGGCTCTCTCCTGATACAGCCCTGCTAGAGTTGGTCACAAGGGCTTAGCCTCTTATTTTAGAAATATTGTGCCCTGATCTAATCTGAAGTACAGCCGAGGTTACCTTACCTTCCACTTGGAAATTAGCTTCCCAACAAACGATCTTGCTGACGGAAAGGGTTTCAGTCCTGTGTCACTGTCATGCTATAGCCTCAGCCTGAGCTGCAGTTGTCCCATTTCTCACCAAAGATTTGGAATGACTCCCTCAGAGGGCATGGCTGTAAAGGCTCTCAAGCCTTACTGATCTTTGTCCGGGCCAGCAGTGTGCAAGCCAGCAATCACTGCTACCTTCCCAAGCCACTTGCTTTCACTGTGCAGGGCTTGCAGAGCTATACACAGGCTGGCCAGGTGTCCTTGTCCCATGCAGCCTCTCAGTGATGCCTTGGTGGCACATACCACTTACCCCTACCCTATTTAACAGACTGATCCCATTCTGCCTAGATTGCTCTGCGGTGTATAATCGGAAGAAGACCAAAAGTGGTTACTACCGGATCAGGCCCAGAGCAGACCGGGAGCCTTTCCTGGCATACTGTGACATGTCTGATGGTGGGGGCTGGACTGTCATTCAGCGGCGAAGTAACGGCAAGGAGAATTTCAACAGGTGGGTGAATCAGCTCCCACCCCCATCCTGTGCCTGGCAAAACCCCACCCTTGAGGAGCAGGGTATGGGTATGCAAAACTATTCCTTAGTGATGGAAACTCTTTGTATTAGGACAATCTGGTGGTACCTATTGGCAGCAGGAGGTTGCTTTTAAAATGATCTATAACATCTTTTCCATGGTTTCTCTGCATTTGAATGCATATTTGTTTTATCATTATAGGAGACTGTCAAAGGCTCCAAACTGGCAGGTATCTGCTGCTAGTGCATAGACAGAGACCTGTTGAACATACCTGCTCTCATATCAGGAATTATGTTCAGTGTGTTGTAACATTTATTATCTTATTCAGATAATTCAAACAGATGCCAAACCACTGGTTGAGATTGTCTTTCCTCTATGCAAAATCCCAGAGAGGTGACTTTCACACAGAACTCTACAGGAGTAGTGATACTCTGGTAGCACAGCAAAGAAGATATGTCCTCATGCAGATAATTCACTATCGCAACACAAAAAATTTCAGGGCATATCTAGTGCTTCTTAAAATCTATGCAGTCCATTGTAAAGCTGCCTCAACTGGCTCTAAGCTGCATTGCCCAGAGAGTGGTAGCTACCTAGCCATGGTAGTTCAGGTGACTGAAAAATATCCTGAAGAGGCCATTGACTAGCATGCAGGTCAGGCAGAATTAATATCTGTAGTAACAACATGAGAGAGAGAATACACACAGGGTTACTAAAACTAGAAATGATAATACACAGCAAGTATATGTGACTATCAAAGATAATACATAAATCATTTGAATTATGACTTGTTGAAGAACAGTATCAGATGCTTTGCTGAATGTGGCAGCTGCTGCTTTCCCTTTCTGTCTAACTGACAACCTCGTCCTGCGAGCACTGCAGCTGGCAGTTTAAAGGTTTGATCCCAGCATAGGTATGTGCACAGGTTTAGCAGGAGGTGAAGAAGTAAGCTGTGAGTTGTATTTACTTCTAACACAGAGTGACAAATCTCAGCTCAGCTTGTGATGAGTCAGATACTTTTCGAAAACAGTGTCTAGAGATACAGGTAAAGTTTTACTTGTTGCCTCAGCCAAATGTCACAAATTGTCTAATTCCCTCACATGCTGAAATTGATATTTGCATCTCACTGCAGGAAATGGGATGATTACAAACTGGGATTTGGGAAATTCCAGGGCAAGAATGATGAATACTGGCTGGGCAATGACCACATCTATGACCTGCTCGCTAGAGGTGCAAGTATTTTTCCTCCACAGATTCTTTTACTAATTTGCATTAGATAGCTCATCTAACAGGACAAAACTTTGTGTTTAGGAGAGAGCTCATTAAAGATTGACCTGATGGACTGGCACGGGGAAAGACGTTATGCAGTCTATGAAAATTTCCAGATTGCAAGTGAGCAGGTAAAAAACAGAGAGGGGCTACTGGCTTTTGTTCTGTGAGGGTAGGGCACCTGCACATGCAGCATCACACTTCAGTATCAGGGTTGTAAGTACAGCTCTGCAAAACTTACCTGCTCTGGTTCCCTGGGCTTCCTAGTTTGTCTGACTGACAAACAGGCCTGGGAGCAAGGACATAAGCCTGAGACTTTTTCCTTACAACTGCCCAAGTCACCTGGTGACAGGATACATGATGCTGCCATGTGTGTGCTCTCTTGCTAATGCTGCTGCTGCACAGAGGGCAGCTCTCTGCTGCAGGGCACAGCAATTCCTACAGGTATTTGCATCTGGCCTCATGGTTAAAGGAGTCTCCTGCGAGGGAGAAAACCCTTAGGGTTTGAACCTCTGCAACAAAACAGAGACCCTGTTCTCCTACTTCCAAGGAGAGTGTTTCAGGCTGTCACATAAAAGACAAACACCAGAACAAATACTCTACTTTGTTTTAAAAGAAAACAGCAAACTTTAATCAAAGCTTTGAAAGAGCAGTTTTAAGTTCCTGTCTTGAAGAAAGGTATGTGTAGCGCTACACCTACTGCTACAGACACAGAAAGCCCAAAGAAACTCATCCTGTACTTTCATGTGTGATTTCTAGCTTTAGACAGTGTCCTGCTCAATACAGGTGCTCCTCTTTGCAACTTGCCTTTCTGCACACCACACATAAGTAGCCCAAATAACCAAGGACATGAGTTGCATGGACCAATCCTACTTCCAGCTCCATCACTACTCCAGAAATACACACATTATATTGAGTTTGAAATTAGAGCTTTCTTATGAAAATTTTGAACAGCTTCATTTTAATACCTTACTATCACATAGTGCCTAGTGGAACTATTATTCTAAGTATTCCTACCAGGACCAGACCATTCAGCTAGAAATCAAATGGCTTCTAGTCCTTGGAAGAGCAAAATGACTAAGAATTTATTCTAGCTGAACAACTGATCAGTTTATGAAAGCAACTACTTGGCACAGTTTTCTGCTAAGTTGTTCTCAATGAGCTAGAAAGAGCCTTCCATCTTGCTGTGTAGTGTATCAAATGGTTGTTGAATGACAATAAACCTGAAGCCCTTTGTAGCAGCAGCAGTAATCAGCAATCCCTTCTGGAAATTTAAATTCTGCATTGATCTACACTAGGATCATTAGAGTATGAAGACAAAAGTCACCCTTGACTTGAACAGTCATGCCTTCAACAGTGAATGAAATGGCCAGAGTAAATTTGATCTCAAAAAATGGGAGGAAGGGCAGAAAGAGCTTATACCAAAGACATGTTTCACATATTATTGCAGGACAATTACAGGTTATGGTTTGGCACCTATTCTGGTAACGCTGGCGACGCTCTGTCTGGTGGGAGCAATTTTGAAGATCAGTGGTCAGCCTCTCACAGAGGGATGCAGTTCACCACATCTGACAAGGATCATGATCGATTCCTGGCAGGCAACTGTGCATCAGAGAACAAGGGTGGTTGGTGGTTTAACAGGTATGGAAAACAGTTGATTCCTGTAGGATGCAAAGGGTGTGGGTGGATGTACAGCTGAGAGGACTTGCCTGCCTTACAGCAGCTGGAGGTTGCTGTGTGCACTTGCCACCTTGCACAGTCAGACCTAAAACATTCACATCTACAGATTCTCAAAGGAAAGCAGTCTCCTTCTTTCATTATGAAACAAAGCAAGTAAGTCAAATTAATTTTAATAAATGGGCCACATGTAAATTGCATTCATTTGAAGAAAATAGTTCAGAACAAATGCATGGGGCCAATGAACTGGAAGGAAAAGAGCCCAATTAAAATTCCTAAAAGTGCTCTGGGTTATACCTCAGCAAAGAAAACAGCTGTAGCCACTGTAAGGTGAAGTGTGTACAAAGGACATTTCTCTACTGTGGAGCATGTCTAGGGGCTGAGCTACCCCATAACAGTTGTGATGGTGTTCCTGCTAGTTGGGCATATGGAGACAGGTTCACCAGCCCTGGGTGCATGCACACACCTCTCTTTTTTTCTCTGCTTTTGTGCAGGATGAGCCTCTTCTTTGACCAGATCCTCATCACATACCAATTGAAATCAGTGGAGCTACAAAAATATACATGAATAGTAGGATTTACCTTGATTACAAGACACTTTTAGGTGTCAATATGGAGCTGTCTATGCTGGAGCTAGAGCCTACCAAATGGCACTACACCCCTCTGTTTAGGCAACGTAATCATGTCTGTAGTTAATACACCTGAAGGAGTCAGAAAGTTGAATTATCTGACCAGCATAGGTGTCTGCTTTAGGATGACCCACATCCTTAGGGTTCCACTAAATGCATTAATCCAATTTCCATCCCACACTGGTGTTTCCAAATGTACATTGTGTGAAAACTGTACTTCACTGTGATGATGCGATATTTTCCCATGCTAAACCTAATTCCCTTTTTCCCTCTCCTCCATCGTTACAAGGTGCCATGCTGTAAACCTCAATGGGCGATACTACAGGAGAGGAAGGTACAACGGATCCCATGATGATGGCATAGTTTGGTCCACGTGGCATGGGATGTGGTACTCGCTGAAATACTCCGCCATGAAAATCAGGGCTCCGTTCTTTGTTGACAGTGAGAGTGGAGATGGTGAGAACAGCCAGGGCAGCTGAAACCTGCCGCCTGGGAAAGAAAAAAAGTTCTGGCTGAAAAGAATTGTAAAAATTGATAGCCAGTACTCTGCTGCTGCCAATCGCCAGACCTGCACTGTGGTAACTGCAGTTGCACCTGCTTCTGCTACCTGAAGCTAACTCTGCAAGTTGTTTGAGCACAGCCAGCCAACAATTTAATAGAAAACATATGGATCTCGGTCATGGAATTACCGGAGTTTTCTTTTTCAGCAGTTTTCAGGACTTCGTTGGAGAGCGTGTATTAAAAGCTCTCTGGACTTTGAATGATCAAACATGTCCTTTAATCTATCAGTACTCTTCAAGGACTAAATCTCACCTTTGTTCTGCATCAGGAGAATGTTTTTAAGCAACTGTCCCTGTGGTTCCAAATTGCCACACTTCCATAGCAGGGTGCTCCTGGAGTCTGTGAAATCAAACCTGTGGATAGATGTGCTCCAACTGCTAAAGTGCATCCAGCCTAAGGGTACTTCAAAGTAATCCCCTACAATATGGACAGTGTGGGCACAGGCTTCCATTGCCAACAGGTTCTTGCTGCAGATCCACTGCTATAGCACACCACAACACATTAATGCAGACAACCCTGCCAACCAGATTTAAGCCCCAGATTAAAATTAGGCAGATTTTAGTAAATTCAAGATGAGCACAGATATTCTTAGGACTTCATAAAGTGCAGTTGTGATTCATTTGTACATTATCCTGTAACTTACCAGATGACTTTGAGTTAGTGAAGGGGAATGAGAAATCAGAAAGTAGTTGAACCACAAGGCACACTCATTGGAGTGAGGCAAAAGAGCAACATAAATGACTGAAAGAAGTGGAATACTGAAAATTTATTTTCCACAGGTTGTTAATAACAACAGTTAAAAATGAACAGTAATATCAGCTTGATGCAAATCATTTAACTACCATGTTGTAGAATAAGCCTATTCTTTTTGTGATTTACAGTAATTTTTTAAACTGGTAGTTCTTGTCCATTTACTTGCTTTTAAATCCATGCATGTTGTAATTTGTACATATAAAGGGTGAAATAAAACCATCTGAATAGGACTTAATACTTTTTACCTGGTTTTCAGCAGTAGGAACTTGAACAGCAATTTGGGTTAAAACCTTGGAAAGCTCATATAGGAGAAATGCATTCTTTCAGAGTTGGCTCCAGTGCTTTTTCACATGCTGTCCTGGGTAGTTGAGAGGTTCTGCAAGTTAAGTTTAGTTTCCATGGCTCAAGCTGTCCTGGAGACAATGCAGAGGGATGTGGTGAAGGTTCAGTGTGAAACTTGGTTAGATTCCTCTCCTTTGTCAAGAGGTAAACCCTGTTCTCACTGCTTCCTAGACATCCCAGTGATTACAAATGTGAACACTGGAGTGCAATGTGCAGCACTCCAGGGAGTTGTGCTCCTAAAGCCTGTGCCCTTGGCAAGACTGCACCCCTGCCCTCTTCCCAAGCACACCCATGTGACACGAAACCTGCACCTATATCTCTGAAGTGAGGCTGCCCTCATGAAGAAAGGGCTGCAGACAGCCAACACTTGCTATTTCCCTTCTGATCACTACTTTTGTGTTTTACTATGGTAAAATCCTGGTGCAAGGTTGTAACTGCGTGTTGAGAACATAAGGAATGACTTTGCACACATTATGACTGTGTGGCTGCCGATGCAGTGCTGAGGGCAGAAAGTATGATTTTTGTCTAGGCGGAAGACACCGAGAAAAGTGAGTGAAATAAATTAATGAATTCTGGCAGGTGATGCTCAATCCCATTCTTCAGCAGAGGGCTAGGGAAGCAGGGTAAAGGTTACAGACAGTGGAAACTACAGCACTTAAGGGACAGCATTAGTGGTTTGACAGTTCATTAAGCAGCTGATAACCCAGTACCAAGCTGGAGATAAAGTCAGCAGGGCCTAGCCAGGCAACTGCCACCCAGTGCAGTTCGGCAGTGAGTGAGCAATGAGCAAGGCAAAGTCCAGACTATGGAGCCTGTTTCTCTCCATGTCAATATGGGAGAGACAGGTGTTATAGTTGGAGCACCTTCAGCCAGCGTCAATGTTACGAGTTTTTTCTGTCTCTGAGAGAGGAAAAGGGGCCAAGGTATCACAAGCTGGGAGGGAAAGGATGTCTCGCTGTCTTTGATGTAAGATGTACCTACGTACATCTAATTAATTACAGTAGCTGTTCTGAAGACAGCCCAACTCTGAGACAAGTTTGCAGGAAGCAGCATCTGGTTTAGAGTAAAGCTCCCCCTCCTCTGCCTTCCTGCAGCACAGGGAACCCCCTCGGAGATGGGGTCACAGGGCTTGGTGCAGGAGCCTGCAACTCCCACAGCAAACTCCAGGAAGTATTTCAGAACCCTCTTTATCTTAATAAACAGGGTAAAATGCCACTAGCTGAGTACTTATTTGATCTGAGGCCTACCACCAAGCTCAAATCACTGCCACTGAAGGTTAGGGGAATGCTTGCTGAATGTTACTGCACTGTATATTTGATCTCCCATTTCTCCAAGGTCTCCCATGCTGAGAGGCTCAACAAAGCTTAAATAGATACTGTAACCCTGCAGCTCCAACACTGACGGTTCACTGCTTCAGGGCAAATGTGCTTCACACAGCGGAGTTAGTAGAGAGATGGTAAGTAACCTGAGCAGCAATTGCTTCAGAGGTCTGATTTCCAGCTCATTTAAGTCAATTTAAAGACTCATTACATTTGATTGCCTTTGGATCACTCTTCAAGCGTGGACACGTTCTCAAATGCTCTAAACAGCATTTCAAGCTGACAGCTTATGGGAATGTGTAGCTGGGACCAGCACCACGCTGGGCCAAGGGCTGAGCATCAACAACGTGGTGTGCTGGCACAGCTCCTGGGAAAGAGGGAGCTCACATCGCCCTGTGAGTCGGATCTGTTGCTCCAGCAGCAGCTGCAAAACATTACCCCTCAGGAACACCATTCAAACAGCTGTGTTTGATTCTGGTGGCCAAATGCTGAGAGTCTCACTCCTCCTACACTGTCACAGCAAGTGACACTGTGTGCCTGTCAAGCTACCTGCGTGTGCTTTGGACACCTCAGTGGGGTGTCATCAGTAACTGGCAGCTAACGCACAGTGATGCTGCTCTTCCTGTGAAATTGTTGTTGGCTTGCAGGGAGGGGGAAAAAAGTGTGGGATTGAGAAATCTATCTTTCTGCTTAGAAAGCCAGTTTTGAGCAAGATAGCAGCCTACTGCCAGGAATGGAGCACATGGTAATTTTTCCTTCACACCCACAAGGCAGGTTAAAGAGCACATAGGGCTGGGCTCCTTATGAGAGAGTTGTTTTAAGTCTGACAGTCCTTTGCCTAAACTTATCTTCTCTCAGTCCATTCTCCATGGGCAGCATCTGCCTTTTTCATTTTTTTTGTTTTTCCCACTACCACTCCCCTGGTCTTTGCAAACTCCTTGAAGAGATGGTTATCCTAACAAAGCAGAGTCTCTGAGTCATTCTCACTGCCAGCCTCTGTTGAGGCTCAGGCCTCTGAATATTTGCAGCAATGTGAAATAGCCAATTTGTGATCTCTGGTTTTAAAGCATAAGAGAAAATAACATCATGGCTTTTGTACCTAACTGTTACCACACTCAACAACTACCTGAAAGGAGGTGGTACCAAGGTGGGGGTTGGTCTCTCCTCCCAGGTAACAAGTGACAGGACCAGAGAAAATGGCCTCAGGTTGCTCCAGGAGAGGTTTAGATTGGATATGAAGACAAATTTCTTCATTGAAAGGGGGGTCAGGCATTGGAACAGGCTGCTCAGGGAAGTGGTGGAATAATCATCCCTGGAAGCATTCAAAAGGCATGTGGATGTTACACTTGGGGGTATGGTTTAGTGGTGAACACAGCAGTGCTGGGCTAATGGCTGGACTTGATGATTTTAGAGGTCTTTTCCAACCTAAATGATTCTATGAGTCTGTAAGATTCTCTGTGAATCACCAGATGTTGTCAAGCCATTTTTGTTCACAGAACAGGCATTAATCAAATAATCTTCTTGTTTGCTGGTTTTGTTCATAATTTATTTTGAACTTTCTGTAGTAGTATTATTGTCAATATACTTACATTAAAAATTTAGTACAGGAAAGTATGATTATGGAAAGGATGCACGATTCAACAGTTTTCTTACTGCTTTTTACAGGTGCTTACAGTAGTAACATTTCTGCAAGGACTAAAGATTTGATCATCTGTTTACTTTGCCCTCCCTGGGGCATGCCTTTTCTACAAATTTCCTGCGAAGATTTATACATAATTGTTTTCTTGATATAAATATTGATAGAGAGAAAATATCAAAGTCTTAGATGATGAAAAACATCCTCTCAATTTTAAATACACTCCAAGTATTCAGCATCAATTGTTTGCACTTCCATGCAATCAGGTTAAAAAAAAGACACCATATGACTTATTTGAGCAACTGCAATGCATCAGCACAGTTCAGTGATGGCTACCAGAAAAACGATGGAGACTGCTCAGAGCTCCAGGTTTGTGCTTTCCTCATGGGAAATGATTTACTAATTAGGGAAGATGGTTGAGGATACTGGACAATGGATGCTTTAGGATGTCATAGTCTATGAGTACACAGTCCACAATGTGAGAAAGGCTACATCAATGGCACTCATCATATATGATGCACGAAACATTAGCTATTCCTGCATCATGCCTTCAGTAACATGTGCTTTCCCAGGGTATTTTGTGTGTATTGGACCCACATCCATACAAAAAATTATGATACAAAAGCACTTTCCAGTGATTAGCAAGGAATATGTTCCCACAAGCCAGACCTGAGGCATTATTCCCTCC